ATTTCGAAGCGCGAGTCTGATAAGCAATTTAGTACATATGACTGCTCGTAAAAAAATAATATAGAAATGAAACCTAAGGAAACGCGCATCGTAGTTGCATGCAGCCTGCATACATGAATCGTAAAAAGTCGGGGTCATTTTTCGCTCTCATTTTTTGGTCGGGGACGCAATTTGCTTTTTTACCAGCCCTGGGCACTTATTCAAATTACCGATCGCATCCATCAGGCCATGGATCAGGGTCATATCTGTCTTCTTGTCTTGTTAGACCTGAGTAAATGTTTTGATGTTGTGAATCACGCCAAACTGCTTCAAAAACTTGAACTTTATGGAGTGAACACTGAGTGGTTCCAAAGTTACCTTTCGGATCATTTTCAATTCGTTCGGATGAGGTCGCCACAGAACGAACAGGTGACCTCCAAACCGATGAGAAACCCGATTGGAGTGTACCAAGGTACCTCGCTCGGACCTTTGTTGTACACCGTGTACTCGAACGACATCAGTTTGTACGTAGAGAGCGAGGTGACCATCGTTCAATACGCTGATGATACTTAACTCAGCTCCTCGTTACGGGCAGAAAAAGTGACATCGCATCACTGGTTCATCGCATGGAGTGTGCACTAAACACCCTGCATCGCTGGTTTATGCAAAATTCCTTGAAACTGAACTCCAGCAAGACGCAGCTTATATTTTTGGGTACGCGCCAAATGTTGCGAAGTGTTCCGCCTGTTACCCTTACCGTGAGCGGCAGTACCATCCACGAGAGTGATCGCGTCAAAAACTTGGGCGTGGTGATGGACCGCACGCTGTCTTATGAGTACCATATAGATCAGCTTGTCGGACGATGCACTGGTCTTCTTATAGGTCTTAGTCATGCCAGATATAGACTACCGAAAGAGACTCTTATCACTATTGTCAACGCATTGGTTCTGTCAACCGCGAGATATTGTATCAGTGTCTATGGTACTGCGGTCGCCAAAAACATGTCTCGTGTTCAAAAGGTGATTAACTTCGGCGCACGAGTTATCACGGGGCGGCGCAAGCATGACCGCGTGAGTGACGCACTCATAACTCTCACCTGGCTCCCGGCTCGTGAACTGGTGACCTACCACACTCTGTGCCTACTCAAGCGCATGTTGGTGACCGGCGCTCCTCGGGATATCGCCGAGCAGCTCTCCACAGTAGGAGAGGGGAGAGAGCGCAACACACGGCAGGACGCAGACCTCGCTCTTCCACGGATAAGATCCGAGTCCGGCCGAAGGAGATTTTTGTACCGTGCTGTGTCGGCTTTCAATGCCCTGCCTCTCGCTGTCAGGGAGCAACCACCGGCAGGCGCGCACACAGGATTTTTGAATGGGGGGGGGCACGACCTTCGAACTGGGCCCCCCATGCCGAAGGGCCCCCCCCCCCAAAAAAAAAATACGGCCCACGGGGCTATATTTCGGTTGGTTTGAAGCTTGAGCAATTGATTTGTCAATGCATGGTAAAACAATTATTTCGGTACCAGCTTAACCCGCGCCCCACTGGGGTCTTTCTATAACGCGCCCCACTGGGGGGGGGGGGGGTGGATTTCGGCCACTTAATTTTGGTGGTGCCCTATTTTCAGTTTTTTTTTTTATTTTCTTTATTTTTGGTTAGTCATGTGATGACTGGTGCCCCTGCTAGGCCGCTGGTGCCCCTGGAAAGACTGCGGTTCCGACCTACCCTGCCCCCTGACAAGCCTACGGTGGGCCCTGACATGACTTAGGTGCCCATGGGCCCTGACAGGCCTGTGGTGCCCCTGACAGGCGTGTGGTGTCCTTGCTAGGCCTGTGGTGTCCCTGGGCCTTGGCAGGTCTGTGGTGGCCCTGGCGAGCCTGTTGTGTCCCTGTTAGAACGCAGGTGCCCTTGACAGGTTTGTGGTGCCCCTGACAATCCTAAAGTGCCAACGACAGGCTTGTGGAGCCCTTGACAGGCTCATGGTGCCCTTGCGAGGCCGGTGGTTCCCCTGCAAAGCCGATAGTGCCCCTGGCAGGCCTCTGGTGCCCCTGGCAGGTCTGTGGTGCCCCTGGAAGACCTGTAGTGCTTTTGCTAGGCCGATGGTGCTCCTGTCAGGCCTGTGGTGCCACTGACAGGTAGGATAAATGGAATTTATCAAACGACAATAAGGAAGAGACAAACACATAGGTACTTGAGGATCAGCTTAACCCGCGCACCGACGGGGGTCCGCGCCAACTTAGAACCGACGGGGGGGGCGGTCATACCACCCCCCCTGAGATCTCGAGAACGAAGCAAGATAGCGACAAGCGGTAAACGGCATGGGGTACGCACGGACAAGGTCTACAATTTTTACAAAGGTCATTTTCGGGTCAGGTCAAAGATGACGTCACAGGGGTCAAAAAAGTCAAAATGGCGGCGCTAGATATGGTGAGAGTCTTTCTCGAAAAACTTTCGAATTAGCCAAGCTAGGAATAAACTAAGGGCATCATCGTGATCCTCTCGTCAATCCGCGTCGAATCATATATATGTTGACCTCGAAAGGTCAAGGGCAAAGGTTGACCTTAGGTCACGTGACCTCGAGGTCATCATGTATATCATTCGATGCGCCTTGACGAGCTGAACACAATGAGACCATCCACGCGGCTGTGTCTTGTTCCTGTAAGGAGTTATTGGCAAAAAACCTTTGGTGACCTTTGATGACGTCACATGACCTTACAGCTGCCCAACAGCAAAACAGGCCTCAAGGTAGGGAAGGTTGATCGTATATGAAGTCATGTATGGTATATGGCGCCATTCCGACGCGTTTTAGTGGGAAAAACAGGGAGTTGATTTTTCCCCATTGACTTATAATGGGGAGGTTGAGAAATTGACCTGACCTTAGGTCATCGATATCAAAATTCCGAGATATACAAATTGTAGCTACCAATGACCTAATAACATCCTGCGACTTTCAAAGGCCTCCGCCATCTACTGTAGCTCTGACACGGGGACAAAGTTGCAAACAAGTGACTTGAGGTTGGGTCATTCGAAGTGACCTGGTGACCTGACCTTAAAAGTTAGGAGGTTCAAACTTGCACACCATGTGTAAAATTGATGAGAGAATAGTCATGTCAAATTTCGCGGCGCTACGCGCCGCGGTTTTCCCGCTATTCACGAAAAACCTCAGGGGGGGGCGGATAACCGCCCCCCCCCCCGTCGGTGCGCGGGTTAACCCTCGCCGGCACAGGCCATTTGAGTCCTTCGACGGCACAAGGGGGGTTGGTACGACCCCCCCTCGCGTTTGGCCCCTGATGGAGCTAGAGCTTCGCGGAAAAAACGAGCGTGTTGTACGTCACGAGAGGAAGCTAATGATACCCAATTTTAAGGTCCTAGGTCATAGGTTGACCTTCCAGGTCAGGTCAATGACCCAAAAATCGGGAATATCGGGACCTGTTAGAAAGTCGTAAAGTGTGGCTGCTAAGTGGTTTTCCGGGGTGCTGATCACGAATATCGTGTAAGTTTTAATCATAGATGATGTCGTGAAGCGTTTAGACCAGGTTGGGTAAGGTCAGGTCAGGTCAACCGGTAGGGGTCGTGACGGGTATTCGTAGTACCTCTCATCCGCCTCTGACAGCTTCGTAACATTTTACGAAGGCACAAAACTACTTCGTAAATGTTCAAATGGTTGCTAAATTCGAATCCAGCTCCAAAAACTAGCCTAGAAACATGTAAAACTCGAAAAAGTGAACCGAGGTCACCAAAGGTCAATGACCTTACCTGACCTTCAGGTGACCTTGACACCCACCCTAATGCATGGGGGCAGCATCAAATCACATGTTTGAACGTTTGAAACCACGAAAAGCTTGCAAACGCGTTTTTTTGATTTCTTTCGTGTTAGTTTTGATCACAGATAATGTCTTTAAGCATTTAGACCAGGTCGGGTCAGGTCAGGTCAGGTCAACAAGTAGGCGTCGTGACGGGTATTCGTAGTACGTGTCGACCGCCTCTGACAGCTTCGTAACATGTTACGAAGGCACCAAAACTACTTCGTAAATGTTCAAATGTTTGCTAAATTCGAATTCAGCTCCAAAAACTAGCCTAGAAGCATGTAAAACTCGAAAAAGTGAACTGAGGTCACCCGAGGTCACCAAAGGTCAATGACCTGACCTGACCTTCAGGTGACCTTGAAACCCACCCTAATGCATGGGAGCAACATCAAATGACATGTTTGAACGTTTGAAACCACGAAAAGCTTGCAAACGCGCGGCTAATGCGAGCCGACATACGCGGAATTGCGATTCCGGCCAAACATGGTCTCGGAAAAGAGGTCACAGGTCAACGGTCATTTGGGTCAGGGTCATGAAATTTTCAGGGTAGGTGTAAAGTTGATTAATTCGAAGGTACTGAAAGTTTCGTCGCGATCGGCCGCTTTTTACGCGAGTTATTCGCGAAAAACCATGGGGGGATCCATCCGACCCCTCCCCCCCCTACACATGCGAGGGTTAAAGCCTGGTATGGATCATATGCCATACTACCATAGATGCTACCATACATAGATGCCATAGATGCTATAGGGCTATCAAAGATGCCGACGTGGGTCCAAGCTGGCATTAGCCCTCAGAGCTCGGTATCGAGGGCTCAGAAGTCGGCGGGGCCCATCAGAGACCAATGTAGTTCGCAAAAAAAAAAAAAAAAAAATCCTAGCGTGCTGGCCATCGACATAACTGGCTCGGCATGCAAATTCCTTAGACGAGGCAATGCCACTCAAACAAACGCTCAACACCGAGAAGTGTGATTATTACTGTCTGATGGGGCAATATGAGGTGGCTACAAACTAATATAAAAGCATGGGTCGGACGGCCTACTATTTTTTAGTTAAAATAAAATATTCATGGTGCCAGGGCTGTGATGAAAAATAAGTGGTCTTAATCCGGTGAGAAAACAGGAATTGGGGGTACCCGGTTTGGCTCCTTCAGTCTCTGGCCCCCACAGTGAAAATTCCTTAGACGAGGCCCTGCGTCAATGAATACCGTTTAATATTCCAGCTTTTTCAATCATCAAAGTGGACCCAAACACTGTCATCCTTCCGGCCGGAGTCGGTACCATCGAGATGGCGGAGCTGCGGAGCTCACGGGAGACTGTGGAGCGGATGTCAGTTTCCGCCGCCGACCTCCCGCGACTGAAGGGGCAGCTCCTGGAGGGCCTTAATCACCTCAATGTCAGAGGTGAGATACCACGGATCACACACGTAATGCCGGTTTCATGGACAGTGCATATACAAATGGACAGGAAGACGGCAAATAGACGAACCGCTCGGATTCAGCCAGCATCCTGTTGCGTTCTTTGTGAATATGATATGGTGAAAGGGCTGCAATTCATGCACTTGAATATCTATAGGTAGTGCGTGAATTTGGTGCATGCATGGGTTATTAGTGAGCAATCATTCCAATGAGGAATGTTTCCATTGAAACCATGCTGTGAATGATATAAATAGATTCAATCGACCTATTTGATCTGCTTTTATGCTTGTTTCTGGTTATAGAATTTTACCATGCCGAAGCGTAGTACGTGTCCTTACGAATTTGCTTTGAATAACTATGTCGCATATTCCCATGTCGTCGATATTCACATAGTTATTTGCAATGACATTTGGTGTTAAAAAACACCCCCCCCGGCCCCAGCGGCTCGGCTGTGTCAGTGCTGGCTGTGTCAGTGTCTGACACTCTGGTGTCAGTGGTGCAGCGGGGAGCTGGCGGCAGCTGTGTCCGACTGCAGTCAGCTGACACAGCTCTGTCCGACAGGGCCGGAGGTGACGGAGCCGAGGTGGCCGGGATGGGACGAGGATGATGGTCTGTCAGTGTCGCTCCAGGGGGTGACTGCCGACACCATCAGTCACCTGGCTGACCTGGGACAGACGGTCGGACGACTGGAGATATACGGTGAGCAGCGGCAGCACGGACAGGCCGATGATATACGAGCTCAGCGAATGGCGAACACCGAGTAATGGTATAGAGTCATGACCGTATGTGGAAAGTAATTTGAATTGGTAAAAGTACGAACTACGACGTAAAAAGTGTCATATAATGGATACGTCTCACTAACCAATTAAACCAATGCAATTTATGTTATGGTGAGGAAGAGCGATAATATGTATTACTTTTAGAAGGATACATGTGTTGAGACTTAGTTATCGCACACACAATAGGCATGGCGATTTTCACTGTTTCAATGCGCAATGAAAAGTGATGCATTCTTTTTAGCTAATTATTGAAATTGTAATTAGAGTATCATGCAACTGTCTACAGCATCTAAAGTTCTTTTTTCAAAGGTGTTTGGCTCGAAGTACATTTTTTTTTTCAAACATGCGCGATTTAGCCAGCGAAACGGGCAAAAACTAAACCTAAGAAAATCGAACGTCGCTTAACCCTCGACGGACCTATAGGTTTTCTACATGCACGCCGGCCGAGGGGGGGGGGGGGCGGGTACGACCCCCCCCCCCTCGCCGTTTCGCCCCTGGTGGAGCTAGCGCGTCGCAGAAGGAACGAGCGTGTGCGCCGTTTCAAGGCGCAGAGATTGATACCCGATTTTAAGGTCCTAGGTCAACCGGTGACCTCTGAGGTTAACCCTCGCCCTGGCAGGGCATTTTTCATAACACGGCCTGGCAGGGGGGGGGGTCGATGCGACCCCCCCCCCTCGCGATTGGCTCCTATGGCACCTAGAAACACCAGATTTGGTAGGTAGGTGGGCCCCCTGGAGTTCTCGCCCCTGTGCAAATTTGGTTGCTCTAGGTCAATATTTAGGGGGGTTTAGGGGGGTATAAATGTAAAAATTTCGCTAAAAACAGGTCAAAAGTTTTTCGCTTATAACTTTTGATCTAATGAAGATAGAGCAAAAAGAAAAGCACCAGTGAACTCAGCACGTCAAGGCGCGTCGAATGATATACTTTTTAGCTTGCTTAAGTGTACTTAAAGTTTTTCTTAAATTTTAAGTAAACTTAAAATTATAAATTAAGTTCAAGTTAACCCGCGCCGTGCTGGTGGCCTGAACTTTCCGCCGAGTGCTGGGGGGGGGGCGTTTTCACGCCCCCCCGTCTAACTCGGCTCCTCGGCCACGTAGCGACACGCGGTAAGCGGCAATCGAAAGAGCGTCAAAAATAAGGACGAAAACACTTCGGTCATTTTTTGGGTCAGGTCAAAGGTCAGGTCACCAGAGGTCACCAAAGGTAAAATGTTGACTATTTCAACATTTTGGAAACTGCCAACGGCTATCTCGGGAACCGATAGAGCTACAGCGCCGCGGAAAAGCGCATTCGATAGCCCTTTTACAGACCTTTCTGAGTAATGTTCTCAGATTTGACCTCAGGTCAACGGTTTAGCCTCCAGAGGGCAAAAACTCCAAAAATAGCCGTTTTTACGAAAAACGTTTTTTCGTCAATAACTTTTGACTCATAAGCGCCATGACATTACTTTTGCCAGCATCGTGTTCCTCTCGTCGAGACGCGTCGAATGAACTATTTGTTGACCTTGAAAGGTCATTTTGAAAATTTGACCTCAGGTCAAGGTCATGACCTGACCGAAAAGGGTCATGTTGCATATCAGTCGATCCGTATCGTCGAGCTGAACACATCTGACGTGTTTTCACCGCTCTAGCACGTCTCTATCAAAAGTTATAGCCAAAAAACTGCTGGCGACCGTTCATGACCTGAGATGACCTCAGGGGCACACAGAGGGGTCACAGGTGCATTTTTCCTATTCAGTGTGTCATGTTTACCTATGAACCGATGTTTGAGAGCGTTTTGAACGATATTCGTCCAAAAGAGGCGCATTTCAATTTTCTCCCATTGACTTATAATGGAGAGGTCGCAAAATTGACCTGACCTTAGGTCACAGATATCAAAAATCCGAGATATACATTTTATACATACTGTTACTCATATCAATCGCTGAAAGTTTCAAAGTGATCGTTCAGTCGGTGTAGCTATAGCGAGCCTTTGAACTTTTTCTGAGGTAAGGTCACTTGACGTGACCTGGTGACCTGACCTTGAACGGCCTAGGTCTGAAATTTTCACAACATGTGCGGAAATGATGTAGGAACACGTGTACCAAAAACGGCGGCGCTGCGCGCCGCCGTTTTTGAGATATTCGCGAAAAACCTGAGGGGGGGGCGTAAAAACGCCCCCCCCCCAGCACGGCGCGGGTTAACCAAATTGCATCATATCGCATATCATTCGATTCGGCTGATCACCAGGAACACAATGATACCATTTTTTAAGCTCTAGCGTCATTATGTGCCAAGTTATTGGCAAAAACGTCATTTGACCTCAGTTGACCTCATTTGACCTGACCCATGGATAAGTACACCAAACAAAGAAGCACCAAGTGACCTGCTGTTAAGTACTGTGGTTTCAAAGCACAAAAGTGATAGAACGAAGCGGATATCTCCAGTATTTTCCGAATTTAGTATTTTCCCATAGGCTTAACATTACGACGTAATGACCTCTAACTGACCTCAGGTCAGTGACCTCATAAAAGCCGAACTATATGTTATACAACTCGGTGAACTTAGAACATCCTGAAAGTTTGAAGGAAATCAGTCCAAAACTGTGAGTTGGACAGGTGCAAAAAGAAAATTGAAATTTGACCATGACCTTGTACCGGTTTTCCTGACCTGGTGACCTGACCCAAGGTCACTCGGACCTGAAATTTTCAGGTCATATGTAAAAAGGTTGCCCCATAGGCTGTGCCAAATTTGGCGGCGCTGCGCGCCGCCGTTTTTACGCTAGCTTCGAAAAACCTTAGGGGGGGGCGCATCGACCCCCCCCCTGCCAGGGCGAGGGTTAAGTCAAGTGCTCCAAGGTACGGTTCGGTTTTTGGTGAATAACATCGCAAAAAACGGCTGCAGAGCCGCGATTTTGGCAGTATCGTGTTCGCCTTGCTCAGACGCGTCGAATGATATACTTTTTGTTTGGGTGAGGTCAACGTAGGGCGTTGACCTCGGGTCACGGTCAGGTCAGCGCCACCAGGTCACGAAGTTTGTCGAAGGAGGTGATATGGCAAATCATTCGATTCGGCAGGTCTTCCTAATTCCATTGGTGACTTTTCCGACTCGCTAGCTCAATTTGATCGGGAATTATTAACAAAAAACTAATATGACCTTGATGATGTCATAAATGACGTCACGCTAGGTGAACATTGCAAAAGTGACGCAACTAACCTTGCAAGGAGTGCATCAAATCACGATTATGTGTGCTTAAGATAGTTGGAGATCGTTCCCTGCGCCGGAACAGGGACATTCCACGTCAAATCTCTCAAAAATCGGCAGTTTTTCACCTTACCATCAGCGATTTCATTATAAATTTGTCAACGCGTTCCTTTGTCGCTTCGGACATTACGTTGATGTTTTTTTTTGCACATTCTGACCACAGGTCTCCTAAATATAGATCATTATATTTTTGAAAAATATGGTATCTTTATATTTTTGATGGGCTGTAAATTTGGATGAACTTGTTTGATTTCAACGAAATAAACTACATTGTTCAGGTAATTTCTTTAACTTTATTTTGAAGCTGCTTATGTCAGTGTAGTGTGAGCTTTGAGTGTGGGAGGCTGTCTCCCCTCAGCGCCGCGGGGCGGGCCGGCCGGCCGCCGGCCGCCCTGTCCTCTCCGATGTGGACGGAGGCGTATATACATCTGGCGCACAGGAGCGTCCCCGGCGGCCGTTTGCTCCAGTTTCGGGGCCATGCCGGCGCGTCGGACGGCACGGAGGGGCAGTCGGGTGGTAGACATGTGACTGGACGTTGGGGTGTAAGGGCGACCGACGAATACAAGGCAAATTGGAGAAGCCAGCCTTTTACAGTCAGTCAAACGCTGGGCCGTCGGGGGCGAACATCACTTAGTAGGCGAGTGAGACCGAATAAAAATCGACCGCTGAATCGCAGGGTCCGGCCGGGCCGTAGCAGGCGAAGAAGACCAAGCAGATATCAAAATCCGATGCACTGTATTGGGGAAACGCTTCCAACCGTGCCCACAGAAAAAGCCACAGTGCCACACACACAAAAAAAAACGAAAACAGCTGTCTGTGCGCGGACGTGGCACAGCTGCTCGGGGTCAAGGCCAATCACCGCGCGCCACATACCAAAGTCGCAGCTAACAGAGCGTGTCGGGTCGCGGCCGGCCGGCCGCGGACCATTTTCAGAAGTGGCGGGCAGACCGTGCGTCGAGTACTTGCTTTCTCGCGCGGCGGTACTGGGGTTCACAAGCATTGTTTAAAATCTTTTCATTTGCTATGAACTTGAAATTATACACTGTAATTAACGATCATTTGTCAATTATTACAAGTTCTTCCAAATTCTTTTTTGAAAGCAAATGATTTCATTTCATTCAAGAATTGTCTTGTCCACCACTACAACTGCCACCCAGCCGCCATCCATTGGAAGAGATAGGCACTGCGGCACAAAGTGTCGTTTTAAACTGGACTGGGAACCAATGTGTGATGACACTTCAAGCTAAATTTATGCTCATTATGTACCTAGAAGCATTGGGAACAACGCTCTGACTGTACATTTTTAGATTTTTGCCTCTAAATGGAAATATTTACAATCAAGTACTTTGCGAGCGCAGTTTAGAAGCTCCCGTAATGTTAAAGTCCTATCTCCTACAAGTATGTAAATACTGCTCTAGGCATAGGTATAGGAACAGGGGGGGGGGGGGACGGGGGGGCCGGTGGCCCCCCCCACTTTTCATAGTGGGGGGGGCAGTAATGTTAACTGGCCCCCCACTTTTTGCCGAACTTTTTAATGTATTTGTAGGTATCAACCCGAAGAACAAACTTGACGGTTCTCTGGCCTGCCCTTCCATGAAGATTTCCATTTGTGCTTCATCGTTATTGAGTGCAATTTTCCTCCACCCAATGAAAGGTAGCTTTGTCAGAAGCAATAAGTGGCAGCTTAGGGGCAGCGCGCGCTGCAAAGAGAGACAATACTGGCGCAGCAGAATGCGTAAACGGCATAAACTAACAATTTATGTTAGGCGGCCTTGTATTAGTTGATCGGTTACTGGCATAGGCGTAAGAACAGGGGGCAGGGGGCAATGGTCCCCCACTTTCGAATGGGGGCCAGCAATGTTAAATGCCCCCCCCCCCCACACACACACCTTTGCCGACTTTTCACTTCTCACGTTTCACGCTCGCTCGTAATAAAAAAAGTTTTTGGATGCTTCTGGAATTCGCATGGGTGCCAACCAGTGGCGGATCCAAGGTGGGGTCACATGGGTCATGCCCCCTTGGGGCCCGGGGGCACCACAGGCCTACCAGGGGCACCACCGACCTATCAGGGGCATCACAGACTTGACGGGGCACCACCGGCCTGTCAGGAGCACCATCGGCCTAGCAAGAGCACCACTGGTCTGCCAGGGGCACCACAGGTCTCCCAGGGGCACCAAAGGCCCTTCCAGGGGCACCACCGGCCTCGCAGGGGCACCTTGGGCCTGTCAGGGGCACCTCAGGCTTGTCAGGGCCCAGGGGCACCACAGTCCTTTCAGGAGCACGACAGGCCTGTCAGGGGCACCAGAAGCCTAGCAGGGACACCACAGGTCTGCCAGGGACACCACAGACCTGCCAGGGGCACCACAGGCTTGCCAGGGGCACCCACTGGCCTCGCAGGGGCACCTTGGGACTGTCAGTGGCATCACGTTCCCGTCAGGGACACTTCAGGCATGTCAGGAGCACCACAGTCCTGTCAGGGCCCAGGGGCACCAGCGACCTAGCAGGGGCACCACGGCCTCGCAGGGGCACCACCGGGCTCGCAGGGGCACCACCGGCCTCGCAGAGGCACCATGGGCCTGTCGCTGGCACTTCAGGCTCGTAAGGAGCACCACAGTCCTTCCAGGGGCACCACAAACCTGCCAGGGGCACCTGCGGCCTAGCAGGGCACCACAGGCCCGCCAGGGGCACCACAGGCCTGCCAGGGCAAAAACAAATCAATAAAAAATGAAAATAGGGCACCACCAAAATTAAGTGGCCGAACTCAGTTGAGGTTTTAATTTTAGGTATAGGTAGGGGCAGTACTTCAATTCATGATCTTCCCCTTGGAGTTTTCCTGGATCCGCTCCTGGTGCCAACGCGGCTGCGGAGGCCAGGGGGACGCGTCCATGAGATTTAATTTCTGGACGGGAGTCTCCCCGAGGTTTTGGTCGATTTTTTTTTCTTTACACGTTTTTTTTTACCAATTTGAGCATGCTTGCGAAAATAAAGTGGCCGAAATCCGAGGAGAAAATCGATTTTGGGGGTAGGTGAGGTTTTGTGCCTCTTGGAGCCTGGCCCCCCCACTTTCGAAAACGTTCCGACACCTATGGCTCTAGGGAACCAACAGTTCGCATCGTACTAGCTTTAAATTATATCCATATTGTTCCCAGTACTTTCCTGAACACCGTGGTGAGTGTACATTTTTCGTTTTTTGCTTTACAAGCGTAAAATTCATCTGGTTTTACACCACTTCATTCGCCTCCATAACGGCGCCGCGTGGCGCGGCCGGCCGGCGTCCGCGGTAGTTCCAAACACTGCCCGATAGATGGCAGGCGCAGAAGTGGTCCCAGGCGTCCCGGTACGGCCACAGTCGGCAGCGGCCACAATCCGCATAACCCAATCCAACTAATAGATGTCGCTAGCGGTCAATCACTGTACAGGCGCAGGTACAGGCGCTAAACGACACGGTACGGTACTGAACAATATTCAACACCCTCCCGCCGACTCTTGGCAGAGCCAATGAATAACAGAAACAGAGCCGTGAACAATGCATATGTTCACTACCTACATCAAATAAAGTGCAAACATTTCATACAGACACACCGCTGAAACATAACACGACTTGATATTTAAAAATGCCTACCACTGAGGCAGTGCGCGAGGGACCTGCAAGAGGCACTCAGGCAGGACACCCGGGTGAAGGAAGAGAGGATGGAAGGTGTTAAATACTGAGAGGTCCAAGCGGCACTGTATTGTCGTCACGACACCCGCCCGTGTGGGCACCAGGCACAGACTGACACACCCAGCCGCGCGGCCGCCGGCCGCCGGCCGCCAGGTCACGCCATCCGCGCCTCAGGCTATCTAGCCCAGCTGGCCGGCACGGCACAGCCAATCCCAGCCACCACACCTCCACCCCAAATTTCCACTATCAACAAAAATGGCCAACTAAATTGAGACTACCAAACATAAACAACACAATGGACACCCGGAAACACCCTACGCAGGATATAGTTGAACCGGTCGCCGCTCTCGCACAGGATAGCGCCGCGATTGTTCAGGATTCTCAGGAGCTTGACGCGGTGCATGCTCCAACGTATCACTGCCAGTCGATACACACTCGCCCGCATCACCAGTCGATGGCCGTCCCACAGCGGCCGCCGGTGAGCGCCGCCCGGCAGAGGCGGCCAGTGCAGCATCGCCAGCCGACTCGTCAGCGGAACACTCGGACGCCCCGGCCGCAGACGGTGCGGCACACCGGAGGCTCGTTTGCCGAGATGGCGAGCACTCGCCGTCGCCGTCGGCAGCAGCAGGATTCAGCGGCTGCTGAAGCGGCGCCGGCATCAGAGCGAGGTCCACCGTCCGCCGATCCGCAGCCATCTCCGGCTCCGGTGCAGTCACCTCCGGCTCCGGTGCAGTCACGTCCTGCGCACACAATTGATTCATGTGACGTTTTTGCATCTGACCGTTTAACACGACCCAGTACAGTGGATGTAAACACTTCTTTACGACCGCTGTTGCCCACAATGGGGCATGTCTGCCATACTGTCTTGCCCAAACCAATTGACCAATCTCAAATGGTTGCCTTTTTGTCGGACATTTTCGCCTGTGACCTTGCACCTGCGCCAACTGATTCTGCCTCACTTTACCTTCAATGTCTGGTTTCAGCTTGTCCAACCTTGTGATGGGCTTGTACCCCAGAAGAAGTTGGCCAGGCGTCTCTCCGGTGGTGGCGTGCGGCGTGACTCTGTACAGGAACAGCCATTTGTCGATGACTTCCTGCATGGAAAGATAAGACACATCAGACAGTTTGTCCAGTCGAACCTTTAGCTCACGGACCGCTCTCTCCGCCAGGCCGTTGGACTGTGGACAGTAGGGTGCGATGGTACGGTGATCGATCCGGTTCCGAGTCAGGAACTGCTGAAACTCAGAGCTGGTAAACGTGGGTGCATTGTCACTCACAATAACGTCCGGTAGACCGAAACGCGCGAACATGCCTGTCAGTGTCTTCACGGTAGACTTTGCCTCCATCGAGTTCATCATAGCCACTTCAATCCATTTTGAATGCGCGTCCACTAGGACCAAAAAATACGTCCCATTCTTCGGTCCAGCGAAATCTATGTGGAGTCTGGACCAGCTCCTTGGAGGATACTGCCAGGGATGCAGCTCCTCCTTCGGCGGGCTCGGGCTGTGAACTCGGCACATGTAACACCGCGCGGCCAGAGTCTCCACATCCCTATCAATTCCAGGCCACCATACAGCGGTACGAGCGAGGGCCTTCATCTTTACCATTCCAAAATGACAGCTGTGCAGCTCAGTGAGTATAGATCCACGAGCGGTATCCGGTATTACCACTCGAGTACCCCACATTATCACGTTTTTGACAGTGTGCAGCTCTGTTTGGCGCATTGCAAACGGCTTTAGTGCGTCATCAGGTTTGTCTGGCCAACCAGTCCGAATGCAGTGTAAGACTCGACTCAGCACAGGGTCTCTATTGGTGAGCACGGCTAACCTGTCCGGACTGAGGATGCCAGTCTCCTCCAGATGATTGATGAGCAGCACGTCTCCCTCCTCCGAACGCACTCGGTGATGATGCTGTGGAAGAGGCAGTCTGCTCAATCCGTCGGCATGGGCGATGTCATGCGTGGACTTGTAGCGAATGGTGTACGAGAACTCAGACAATCGTATGGCCCAGCGTTTGATTCGAGAACTAGCCATTTCGGGCATGCCCTTGTTCTCCCCGAACAAGCAAATCAGTGGTTTATGATCAGTGACGAGCTGAAAATGGGCTCCATATATGTAATCTCTAAAACTTGTCACGCCAAAAATGATGGCCAACGCCTCCCGTTCGATTTGACTGTAGGCTGCCTCTGCCGGCTGAAGAGTTCTAGAGGCGTAGCCAATAGGTCTCTCTGACCCATCAGGAAAAACGTGGGAGAGCACCGCACCAATTCCCCGACAGGAAGCGTCACATGCCAGGACCATTGGCAGTTCTGGATCAAAATGAACCAGCAGCTGATTTGAAACCAGCAACTTTTTGCACTCGTTGAATGATACTTGATGGCGTTTTTCCCAGGACCATGGCGTGTCTTTTTTTAAGAGATCATACAACGGTGACAGAGTCTGGGCACGGCTCGGAATGAAACGAGAGTAATAGTTGAATATTCCCAGGAACGACTTGAGCTCGGCCACATTTGACGGGACAGGCGAATCCGTAATTGCACGGACTTTCGCCTCCGTAGCATGAACTCCATCACTGTCCAAGACGTAGCCCAAATATTCTACTTTGTGAGCCAAAAACAAGCATTTCTCCGGCTTTACCTTGAGTCCTGCCTCCTGGAAGAGCCGCAGAACACGTTCCAGCCGCTGCAGAAGCTCGTCTTCGTCGTGTCCACACAGCAAGATGTCATCCAGATATATGAAGGCTCCGGGGACTCCCGCCAGCAGCCTCTCCATCTCGCGCTGGAAAATTCCCACAGCTGACGAGACTCCGAACGCCAGACGACGGTACCTGAACAGGCCGCGATGCGTGTTAATGGTAAGCAAATGGCGGTGCTCTTCAGCTACTTTTAACTGCTGATACGCCCTGCTCAGATCCAACTTTGCAAACACTTTTCCACCCGCTAGCTTTGCAAACATGTCTTTCACCCTCGGAACCGGATGTTTATCAACTTCGATGGCTCGGTTTGCCGTCTGTTTGAAATTCCCACAGATGCGGATAGTCTTACCGTCCGGCTTCACAATGGGCACAATCTGACATGCCCACTCGGATGTTCGAACTGGCTCCAGGATACCAGCTTCCACTTCTGCCTCCAGCTGTTCCTCCACCTGCTTCCTGTAGGCGTATGGGATGTTTCGGGCACGGCAGAAGCGTGGCGACACAGACTCATCAAGTTCAAACTTAACTTCAACATCTTTCAAACATCCAAGTTCAGATGAAAACACATCAGCGTATTTCTTTTTAAGCTCCTGAAAACGAGGGTCATCCCCAAATCTCACCTGCTTGATGTCTTGCCAGTTGAGCTTCAAGACTCTCAGCCAATCTCGGCCGAGCAGGTTCGGTCCGGTGGTGTCCACCACCAAGGCCGGCAGCTCCAAATGCTGACCGTCGTAGCGTATGACGGCGCTGAACTCACCCTCTACAGGAATTCGCTCACCGGTATACGTCCTCAGGTGAGCTTCGCTGTGCTGCAACTCCAGGCCGATGTCTCCGCCAACCGTCCTGACCGCTTCGAACGTCTCTTTGTTCATCAGGGTTGAAGCAGCTCCTGTATCGACTTCAAATGTCACGGGCACACCACACACCATCACTTCGGCTGTGATTGGGGGCGACTTTTGACGACCTACCGTGTAGACACTACAGACCTCGCTTTCATCATCAACTTGAGCAGGCTCATCAGTTCCATCCTCACCGACACGATTTGTACGAGTAGCTGGCTGTTTGTCCTGCTCATTTTGCCTACAACACCGGCTCAAATGGCCCAAGGCTCCACAAGAGTGACACCTATAGCCTTTAAACCGGCACATCTGCGGAGAGTGACTTCCACCACACCGGTAGCAGTCTCTCTTTACATACCGGTTGGGCGGCGGTGGAGTCGGTCTCTGTTTACGTCCAGCAGGCGGCGGAGGAGGATTGAAGCTCCTGGCCTCGACTCTGTTGACCTCGCGACTGTCGCGAGATGGCTGCTCCGTCGTCAGCTGGCGAGATCCTTTGGCGGCCGTCTCCACAGCCAGCGCGATCTTCTGTGCCCTTTCGAACGTCAGCGAATCTTCTTCAGACAGCAACCGCTTCTGCAACACCTGGTCATATAAGCCACACACAAATCTATCTCGCAGCATCAGATCCATCGTGTTTCCAAAGTCACAACGACCAGCCATAACTCTCAGCTCAGCAACAAATTCCTTGATTCCTTGCTCGGCTCCTTGGACCTTCTTATGAAATTGAAAACGACTGACGATAACTGATGGCTTGGGGTCCATGTGATTCTGCACAATTCGTTTGATGTCCTCAAATGACACATCTGAGAGCTGGCAAGGTGCCAATATTGTTTTGACTTTCCTAAATCCCTCTTGTCCAAGTCCGGAAAGCAAACGGGCCCTCTTAGTTACATCATCCATCTCAACACCTTGTCCAATGCAAGCAAACTCGAAACGTTCGATGTAATCTGCCCATGTCTCACCATCTTGCTCATGAAACTCTCCGATACCCGTCCAGGCCCCCATTCCTACCGTTGGTTGCCGCCGATTCCCGTTGTCCTCTTCCAACTTAACTGCAGGCTGCCGAGTCTCCTGCACTTCTCCGTCATTCACCATACTTCCCGCAGTTCTTCGGACCTCGTCGCCACTGTTAAATACTGAGAGGTCCAAGCGGCACTGTATTGTCGTCACGACACCCGCCCGTGTGGGCACCAGGCACAGACTGACACACCCAGCCGCGCGGCCGCCGGCCGCCGGCCGCCAGGTCACGCCATCCGCGCCTCAGGCTATCTAGCCCAGCTGGCCGGCACGGCACAGCCAATCCCAGCCACCACAGAAGGACTTCAAGGTTAGGCGTCAGAGGTCCCGGACAATCTGGAGTGTCACCCTGAAAGGTGAGTGGTCGCGAGTTAACCCGCGCGGGGCTGGGGGGGGGGGGTAAATTTTACCCCCCCCCCCTCGCGAATCTTTGCGATGCGCCGCCAAGAAAAGGTACTTTCAGTACCTTTTCTTACATCAATTTGACACGTTCCCTGAAAATTTGAGCGAAATCCGTCGGAAATTTTTGAGAAATTGACGTTTTAGTGACGTCATGTTCGCCATTTTCGCCTCAAAAACGGCAAAAGTTCAAACGCCGCTAACATCTTCATTTTTAAAGGAATCAAGACGTAACAAAAAAGGTTATACGTAATTTTACTTTGTCTATCAAATGGCTATCTCGGTTTTTTGAAAATTTTGGATTTTGGCCTAAATTTTTTAAAAAAACTGACTTTTTTGGGAAAATCATTATAAAATGCAAAATTTTGAGTCTATCGAAAAAACCGGAATATATGTCAGAGAAGTGGTCTATGTGCACCTACATACCAAATTTTAGAAGAATCGGTTCAAAAATGTGGGAGTTATTCAAAATTTTATGACGTCACGACACACAAAATTTTTGAAAAATGACTTTTTTTGGAAGTTCTAGACCTCGTACGGAAACAAAAATAGCACCATTCGATTCGCCGTGAAAAACTGCATCAGATAGACACCTTTTTAGGCCTTAACAACCAACTTCAAAATTTGACCTCACTTGACCTGACCTTGACCTGACCTCGACCTGAAATTCATCCAGAGGTGGTCCATATCACTTATTGAGTGTGCCTATTGAATTCTATGAGTAAAATGACCCATAAAACATGTGTCGCACATGCCCTTTTCTATATTTTGTTTTTTTTGGTGACCTGACCTGACCTGACCTGACCTTGACCTTGACCTCTGAATGATAGTGTTTGCAACGAATATTGTCTTGGTAGCCTAAGAACACGTTTTGGGCGATCAGTCTCAGTCCATGACTCCATTCTTCGGCAACTACGGTGCAAGGCCGATACTGTAGAAACTTGCAATTTGTACCCTTGACCTGACCTTGACCTTGACCTCAAACTTTAAATTAAGTACATGTTTTTAGTAGTTCGTGATGAGAGCTTTCGATTGGCGTTTGAATTTTATAAATCGGACCATTAGTTCGGGAGATAACAGGGGGGGGGGGGTAAAATTTACCCCCCCCCCCCCAGCCCCGCGCGTTCCGCTGGAGACCCCAGCCCCGCGCGGGTTAATGCAAGCCTCGACCTCACTCAGCACGGTGTCCAATACAATGCGCGTCAGACAGCGCTTTCCCAGTGACTTACGAAGCGCGACCTTGACTGAACGTATAAGACGTTCCCACCAACCTCCCCACCACGGGGAGAGGGGGGCGATGAATTTCCAACAAGAAGAGAGCCGCCCAAAGTACTTGCGAAGCTTAACGTCGGCGCCTTTGAAGGTGGTCGCGTTGTCGGAATAGACAGTGGACGGCACACCTCTCCGAGCAGCAAACCTGCGGAACGCCAGCATGAAATGCGGCAGCGACAGCGATTCGGTCAGCTCCAAGTGCACGGCACGAGTGACCGCGCAGGTAAACAGACAAACTATAACTTCTTCCGTGGGAAATCAACAGAAAACAGTGGCCCTGCGAAGTCCACGCCAGTGACTGAAAATGGCGGGGCAGGAGACACCCTATCCCGCGGCAGAGGGGCGGTCTGCTGCGAACCGGCCCTGGCATCCTGCCAACGGCACGCCAGACAGCCACGAACAACGCGGCGAGCAATGGCTCTGAGCCCCAGCACCCAAAACTCAGATCTCACAGCAGTCAGCAGGGTGGCTACACCAGCATGATGCATGAGGTGGTGCTGCTCACGAACGAGCAAGTACGACAAGTGCCCTTTGGGCAAAATAATAGGATGCTTTTCCTCATAAGATAGCTGACTAAACTGGAGTCGCCCTTGAACACGCAGCAGACCATCAGACAAGAAGGGCGAGAGCCTGTGAAGTGGCGAGCTGGCTGGAACTTTACCACCCATCCTCAGAGCTGTCATCTCAGCATGAAAACTCTCAACCTGTACAAGGCGAAACAGAGCGTTCCGCGCATCAGTCATCTCAGCACACGTCAGGTCTTGCTCGCTGCAGCGGTTCACACCACGAGCGTTCCGGACAAATCTCTGAACCCAACCCATCACTCGGGTGGCCTTGTTCAGTGATCCAAATCTGTCGAGGTCTAACAACCTCGTCTGGACAGAAGCACGGTCACTTGGACCATCGTCACGGGGCGGCGCCGCCGCACCGACTCCTCCGTCAGGGGGCGGGCTCACCCGCGGATATTTTCGGAATTTTGACAATTTCGAAAATTTTATATAATAAAATTCAAAATTTACATTTTTTTTTCAAAAAGTTTTTAACCTTTTGAAAAAACCGGAATATATGTGATAGAACGCGTTATTATGACTAACTCTAGCAAGTTTTAGCTAAATATCTTCAAAAATGGCCAAGTTATACGCATTATTGCAAAAAATTCACAATTATTAAATTTTCAAATCAATTTTTCACCACGTATTTGACATCGTACGCCAATATAAATAGCACCATCGTGTTCCTGAGCTCAAACTGCATCCAATAGACACCTTTTCTGTTGAAAAATTATAACTTCAAAGTTTGACCTTTTTTGACCTGAAAGTGACCTGACCTAAGCTAAATTCGACTCAAAATGACCTCGAATGACACAGACAACATCAAATTCGAAATCTTTGGCCTAAATGGACCATAAAACATGTGTCACGTGACCGACGCATGATATAATATTTTCGTGACCTGTGATGACCTGACCTTGACCTGAAAATCAAAGTACAAGTATGGTACCCTCAGGGTATCTAGAGCATCTGTTCACGAGTGTGTGAACCAAAAATGAGCCTGATCTGGCTTGTAAGACGGCGGCCAGAGCCCAAAACGTGAACAAGCCAAAATGCTAATAATTTTTACTTTGACCTGACCTGTGACGTCATCGGTGACCTCGAGGTCAATGAAATTAGGTTTCGCTCGACAATTTTTCCGGGGCTATCAGACGCCGTTTGAATTTTGACGATCGGCCCAGTAGTTTCGGAGTTAGGAGGGGGCTATGAATAGCCCCCCCCCCCAGTAGGGCGTGTTATACGCAGACCCCAGTGGGGCGCGGGTTAAGGATTCTACGGTCCCTCTTGAATCCTTAAGGATGCATTCGCCGATCCGTAAGGATTTTAAGGCGATGTTTGGTATCCTTAAGGATCGATCAGTATTCCATAAGGAAATTGCTAGTGCCGCTTAATCCTTCAGGATAGCCGATGCAGCCAGTACGTCAATCATTATGGAATGATTGAATCATCCATAGCATTACATATTCCGTGCTCCGTATCCGTTAATTTCTTTACCATATGAGATATACGGCATGTAAAAACTTTGTGACGGACCAAAGCAGCGTTCGTTATCATCATAGGCGCGGGAACCGGAAGGTGAGGGGGGGGGGGCACTGGGAGCAGCTTGCCCCCACAACTCTATGGCCGGGGGCACTGCCTCGTCAACTTTTGAGCTGCAACTTTGAAATTAAATATTTTCGATTTATGGCATTTCTCGATATTGCGAGTGCCAAAACCGGTGATTGTGAGCCAGAGATAACAATTTGGCTATCTTAACTCCCAATTAATGTTAAGCTGGGATGGTCACTTAACCCGCGACCGCCTGGGGGGGGGTCGGATCCGACCCCCCTCCCTCCGTTTTTCTCAATTAACTCGTGAACCGCTTATGCTATCAACTTGAAACTTGGCATACCTTCTCCCCCATCAATTTGACGTTCTCTGTGTAATTTTTAAGATTTTTTTTTTTAACTTTTTGAGTTATATCGATTTTAGTGATGTAACTACATGGCGTTTTCAGTCAAAAAGTGGTAAATGTTTAAAAAATCGCCAAAAATCAAGGTTTGAAGCAAATTGCAAATTAAGGACATGAATAGACGCAGCTCAACCAGTTCTTTAAAATGGCTATCTCGGATTTTCCATAAGATGCGTTTTTCACCCCTAAAAATTAAAAAAAAACTCTATTTTTTGGAAAACAGCTAATAAAATCCAAAATTTTGAGAATAAAACCGGAATATATGTTATTGAGCTCTATTAGAACATGAGATGTCTCAAATTTCAACTTTCTATCTTGATTTTTGACCCCCAAATTGTAAAAAATAGCTCCAACATGCATAGGGTATTGTGACGTCATAAGCATTTTCGTGAATTAGAGGCACTTCTGAACATCGCATGTGAAAACAAATGGCACCACTAGATTCCTGGGACAAAGCTCGTCTAGAAAAGTGCATTTTTATGTCAAAAATAAAAAGCTGAAAAATTGACTTTTTTTCTTAGTGATGTATAATATAAACGATTTTTCATGCTTGCTGATGACCAGAACAGTGACTTTGGGTTACATATAACCATGACCATCGGATTCGGCGTAAAAAATAAGCCATAAAACATGTGTCGCATGCCCATGTAGCAGAAAGTGAAAACCGTGACCTTTCGTGACCTGACCTGACCTTGACCCGTACTTAGTATGACCCCTATACGCACATGGTACCTTCACTAGGTCTTTGAGGTCATTTTTGGTGAGTTTCGAGTAGCAGCTATCGATTCTGCTGTCCGTAAGCCTAATCATGCAAAACCCCAGAATTTGACCTTTGACCTGATCTTGACCTGAAAGTTGACCTCAATCTAATATTAAGAATTCTTTGGGAAGATCTCGTAGAGACCTTACGAACGCCGCCTCGCGGGGCTCGATACGACCATTGGTTCTCGAGATAACAGGGGGGGGGTCGGATCCGACCCCCCCCCCCCCCCAGGCTGTCGTGGGTACGGAAATAGCCCAGGCGGTGCCGGGTTAAATGTTCACGCTGGGTTCACCCAGACTCCAAATCAGATAGACGAATAGTTCTGATAAAAAGTACCTATTGGTATCTCAA